AGAAAAGGTGATATTACATCGGACTCCAGATCCAAAAAACTTTCAACCTAAAACCGTCTTAAAAAGTAAACACCACAAAAAGCTTTGAAAAGACACCAAAACCAAAAAAGCCGAGGTTTTTCAGTGCAAAAGCGGAATTTCTCAACGACTCACAAACTCAGTTGAACGTATTCGAGTTGCAGTTTTTTCCCCAGCGAATGCAATTATTGTCTTGACGTTGTCTTACAGCTGGGTTTCAAGGTACTATACTTACCAAGTATCTTCTTGTCTTCAGTTTTTCTCAGTTTTAGACCGAGAACCTATTTTCCTGAAAATTATTACCGATCTGCAGAACTAGTGTTTAACTGTTTATCTTACACTCTCCCGTGATCCGGCAGGTGAGAGTTTGTTAACGTCAATAAATATTCAATGAAAAATATATCTTAAAAACCTTTTATTGCAGGTCTAATAATATCTACTAGACACTATTAACAGTGTCAAGCAGTGTTTTGTTAGTTAACCAGCCCATTCTTACCCTTAACCTCAAAACCTAGCTTGATCTTCAGTTATGTCAGAATTGATATTCGCTTTTCCTCTGAGTTATAATGAGTATTTGTTTTGCCTGTTGAGGAAACTTCTTAATTAGTTGTAAAGTCCAACTGAGGTGCAGGATTAATGTTAAATGAAAATCGGTATCCAGGTGTTCTTGAAACGGATCGAGCCCAACTAAACCGTAGTCTCCTACACCTTATCGATTTCCGTTTTTCTCTTTGGCTAGGCATTAGAAATACTGTATGTGTGCAGTCCAAAATAGATTATAAATGAGACGGTGCTTAACAGTGACAACTTATATTTAGACAAAGTCCAGAAAAAAATGATAAAAATATATATAAATAAATATATATAACCAAATATTGAGTTGAAATCCTCATCGGCTATTAGAGTGCTCAATAGTTGAAATACAGCGATAAATAATAATGTAGTCGAAGAGCAGGATAGCAATTAAATGTATTGGACCAAATAATCCTGACCAGCTCTTCGACTACATTATTATAATACATTATGATAATATATACGGATATAAATATTTAATTTCCCGCATTTTGCAGTTTTAATGTCAACGAAAGAGTACTGTTTGCGCACCCTGTTGTATGTTGTTGCATGTTGCATGCTGTCGGGAGTTGTTGCGCAAAGTTTGAAACCGGTCAAACCTTTACCTACTTGCAAACGGACGCAAAAACTCCCAACATTGTTAGGATTTGTCGCGTCCGTTTGCACGTAGTTTAAGAGACATTTTAATGCAGTACGAAACACAGCACGAAAAGTAAAATTTCACGTTAGATTTGCGACAAACAACATCACCTCCACCAGTAAACTATATGCCTACAACCTGCTACAACACTTCAATGGGAAATTCAAAATTCAGTGTTTTGGAAGCCAGTACACAGTTTTTTCCCGATTTTTTAAGGGCTCAAAACATGGTTCGTGTTATCGAGTGATCTCCATATTAAGTAAATTATACTAAACGTTGCGAAAGAAATTATTGTTTGTATCCGTCTTATCCATCGTAAAAGCGAGGGGTCATCGCATGACATCCGGTATATTAAACAGAGGTAATACTCACGGGTTTCACGAGTTGTATGCACTATTTTTCGCCGAGAAACAAATTTAAACTTCAATTCTTACCTTACAGTAGTCCGTTCTTTTACCTTGCATTCGACAACAAATCTGTTAAAGGCGAACAAAGCGATTCCGGCACTCTTCTTTATGATGAGTAGCAAGCCGCAGGAACTGAAGCCGCTTGACTGAAGTAAAATCCACCGAT